AAACAGGACATCAGAATAGGTGATGTAATTTGCTTATTTAGGATCAGAGCATTCAGTGAAGTGGAAGAGACAACCTGTTTGAATTTGCAGATAATCCTATAATAAATGCAGGGCTGTCCAGTTGCAGAAACTGCAGCTGTAGTCTGGGATGGTTCTTTCCTCCCTGCACATTTATTTTTGCAGGAGATATAATTGCAATCATTCTTCCTTGCAGGAAAGCCTTGAAACCTCACCTGGGATTGGCCTCCCATTGCATTAGGTATTGTTCAAACAGGGTCCCTGCCCCGGACAGCTGAAAGGCTAAAGGGTCAAGTCAAACAGAGGGTGGAAATGGAAGGAGAGGCCCAAGGGAGGCAAGAAGGTGGCATGGCCCCACTGCAGGACCCAGGTCTCCCAGCCTGCTCCCACCCTGCTAGAGGAGCAAAGCTTTGGGCTCAAACTGAGCCAAGCAGCAGTTACGCTTTCAAGTAAAGCACAAGCCAGCTCTTAGAAAGACAGGCAGGCTCTAAAGCTGTCTGCAGAGCCTCACACCAGCAAGGATTTTACAGCAGAGTTCTCAACCTTTAATGACAAGGTTCTTCTATGAGAGAAGGAATTTCTCAGCCACCCATACAACACTAAACATTGTTTTCCCTTCAAACTGGCAGGACAAATGCTTGTGATTGATACACAGATCTAAAGCTAACAACTTGCACTGTTTATCTCCTCAGTTTATCAGTATTCAAAGCCTCACTTAGTCCTGCCAGTGCTGCTCAGAACAGCATTTCTCACAGCCAGGCCCTGCCAGCCCCTTGCCTGAACTTATCTTCTTTGACTTCAGTGTTTTCTCAGTGACAAGCAGTCAGCTGGGCCAGACACCAGACCCCGGCCAAAGGAAGGAAAATGTGCTGGGTACCTTGGGCTGCCGAGAAAGAGCATTCCGGAGTGGCACTGCTCACACCGACAGGTCAGTGGTGCTGTTACACAGGCTGCAGATGGATCTTCCATGAGATGGCATGGAAAAGCAAGCTGGAAAAAGCCAGGCCAGTGACTCAGGTAATATCTGCCAAAACAGTATCATCATAGAATCATGGAATGGTTTGGGTAGGAAGGGAGCTTAAAGCTCATCCAGTTCCAAGCCCCTGCCATGGGCAGGGACACCTTCCACCAGAGCACATTGCTCCAAGCCCTTGTGTCCAACCAGGCCCTGAACACTGCCAGGGATGGGGCAGCCACAGCTTCTCTGGGCACCCTGTGCCAGCACCTCAGCACCCTCCCAGGGAAGAGCGCAAGCCTAAGATCTCATACCA